TATTTAAGAAAACCTAAAGGCAATAAAAGCAGCCTCTATTAATGCTGCGTGCATTCATTAAAAATATTTATTGAATGCAAAGAAAATGAGGCAGGTTGCCTGCATTTAAAAGGCTTATAACTCAGTCAGAAGCTAGAATAAGAATACAAGTACTGCAGTATGGGGTGGATTATGAGGGATGTCAACAAAAAAAGGTACAGATATAGAGGATATGTCTCCTTGTGGAGACCAGGGGACGCTACCTGGAGAAATGGAGCCATGAAGCCATGGCAGGATTTCAACAGGTGGAAGAGGAGGGAGGGGAACTCTTCAGGCAGCACAGATATTGGGGGACAGCAACCTTGAATTTAGGTGCTCAAGAAGATGAGGTGACATGTATTTTAATTTGATTAGAATATCATAGTAGCATTTGCATTAACCTCAAATACCTGGCTTTCAGCATTTTCCTTACTCACATTATGCAGAAACTTCCTGAGACGGGACATGAAATAAAGGGGATTTGGGTCAAGCAAGGCATCCTGTGACTTCTAGTGGGGCTTCTGTAGGATTAATTATATGTTAAAGGCTCCTAGACATACTATAGTAAGGAAACCTGCTTAATTTGTTTAATGCAATGTTTCCTAAATTCACGGGACCGTAGAAACTCTCTGTGTGTGTGTGTGTGTGTGCACGCGCACGCACAATTCCTCTTAACATTTCCAACTAGGGGTTCTGGGAGCATATTCTCAGAAACAGCTTCATTTAACTACATGAAAAATCCTGGTGGAGGCTGGAGACTCCTAGCAATGTTTGTCAATAAATTTCCATTTTTTTTGTTCTTATTTCTAGAAATCTAAAGTAACATGTAAACTTGAATAAATATACAGGATATAAAGTTTCAGTGTAAACTCAAAACAGCTGCATTCTTATGGAACTATTGGTGTTTGCTTTTCTCCAGAGGCAACAGATGCAATTGTTAGTTATTTCAGCAGCTACAGTAAAAAGAAAACATCGATTAGTGGTAAATAACACCTCAAAGAGACAAAATTAGAGCTGAGTGAAGGGAAAGCTATCTGGCACGCCAAACCAATTTCTAGTGTCTTTTTGTGAAATATAAGAAAGTTCTAAAGGGTTTAGTGAATATCCAGCCTAAAGATGTGGTTTTTCTAATCTGGGATCTAATTGTTATTCCAGCACATACAAATGAACATCAGTTTCCTGATCTGAAAAACTGGACATCAGATCTGATAATATAAGAAAGAAGCTTATAAATTAAGAAGTGCATTAATTCAAAAGATTATCACAATATCCCCAATTCAATAAACGCTTCATTATTTGGGGGAAAAATTAACTCACTAGCCACAAAAATAAATGTTGAAATAAAAAAAATTTTAAAATACCTTTTACAATCGCATCAAAAACCATGGAATTCTTATGAATAAATTTAATAACTATGTACAAGATTTGTAAGCAGAAAAATGCAGAATATTGATGAGATAAATTAAAGACCTAAATAAATGAAGAGATATAGTGTGTTGATGGATCAGAAAAGTCAATATTGTTAAGATGTCAATTTTCCTGAAATTTATAGATAGACTCAACACAATCTAAATTAAAATTCCTAGCAGACATTTTTTTTGTATAAATGGACAAGTTGATTCTAAAATTTTACATGAAAGGCAAAAATTCGAGCTTAGTGAGAACAATTTTTAAAAAGAATAAAAAGGAACAAAGTTGGAGTGCTCACACTACCTGATTTCAAGATTTACTCTAAAGTTGCAGTAATCAAGGCAATGTTGTTAAGGCCATGAGAATAGTCATGTAAATCAGTGGAACAAAAGAGGGAGTATAGAAATAAACCCATGTATTATTTATGGTTATTTAATTTTCAATAAAGGCCAAGGTATTTCAATGGAGATAGGAGAGCCTTTTTAACAAATGGTATTGGGTTGATTAGACAGATATATAGAAAAAAACAAACACCTTTAAACCATGTGAAAAATCAACTAACATGGATCATAGAGCTAAATGAAAAACCCAAAATTTCTAGGAGAAAATCTGAGAAACCTTTAGTTAAGTTAGTATTTTTTAATACTCTTTAACACAAAAGCACTATTCATTAAGGGAAAAAAAATTGGTAAATATGACTTCATTAAAATTTTAAAATGTTGCTCTTTATAAAACACTGCTAAGAAAATGGAAAGACATGTCATACATAGACTGAAAGAAAAAATTTGCAAAACACATATCAAAGAAATATTAGTATCCAGATATATAAAGAACTGTCTTATAACACAATAATAAAAAGACATCCCAGTTTTTAAAAAAGGATGAAAGGTTTGAATGCACGCTTCATCTAAGTAGAGATGCAAATAAGCATATGAAAATATGCTCAGTACCATTTGTCATTAGGGAAAGGCTAATTAAACCACAAAGAGATATCACTATCTTATTATTGTAGAAAAGCTAATATAATGGCTAAACAAACAATAGAAAATCCAAAATGTGGACTAGGATGTGGAATAACTGTAACTCTCATACGTTGCTGGCGAAAATGCAAAATGGTACAGCCACTTTGGAAAATATTTTAACCTGTATGTGAATGTTTTTAGCAGCTTTATTCATGATACTCAAAATTGGAAATACACTCGATGTCCATCAAGTGGGGAATAAATAAAAAGATTTTGATACACCCATACAGTGGAATACTACTTGGCTAAAAAAAGAATGAATATTTGATACATGGAACTACATGGAAGAGTCTCAAAAGCATTACGCTAAGAAGCTCAAGATAAAATGCTGCATATTGTCTGATTATATTACATAATATTCTGAAAAAAACAAACCTATAGGGACAGAAATCATATTGGTGGTTGTCAGGTGGTCAGGAGAGGGGATTGACTATCAGGGGCACAAAGAACTTTTAAGGTAATGGAAATGTCCTATATTGTGATGATTACACAACTTTAACCATTTATCAAAATTCTTTGAACTACATGATGATTTTTACTGTAGGAAAACTATATGTCAATAAGCCTGACTTTATGTTTTTAAAAAAGGTAACTCTGACTGGGTGTAAACAATGGACTAGAATGTTGAGAGCTTGTAGGCAGGGAAGCCAGTTAGGAGATGTTTGTGGTCATCAAGGCAGGAAGAGGTGATGAGTATTTGGGTCAAGACAATGGTTGTCAGATGAAGAGGAGGCTATGAATGCAACCCCAGGCACCTAGCTGTGAGTGGAAAATTAATTCATCCACAAATTTACTTAAATATTCTTGTTTGGGTGTTTAGCTCTATATATACAGAACCATAAAAACACATAAACTAAAAATAACTAGGGAAGTGATTCACAAATAGAAAGTTCAACTTACTATATGGGCTAGTTCCTGCTGATAATGGTGCTGGTGCTCTTGCTGGTAACAATGATGCTGATAATGGTGACACTGATGATGCTAATGGTGGTGGTGATGATGCTAATGGTGGTGATGATGATGATGGCAATGGTGATGATGATAATAATGGTGATGATGGTGATGATAATAATGGTGGTGATGATGCTAATGGTGGTGGTGATGATGATGACAATAGTGATGATGCTAATGGTAGTGATGATGCTAATGGTGGTGATGATGACATTGGTGGTGATGATG